GCATCTGTGATGGAAAGAGGGGGAGACCAGGAGTCCTGAGAACCCACTCAAACGGCTCCTGATTCTGCAAACCCTACCAGCAGGTTTGCTGCCACATGGTCTTCTCAGCCTTTCTCGTCCCCACTCTGATATCCCCGCACAACGAAGTCCTATAGACAGTGCCTCCAACATGTACGCCAAACCCGTCTCCCCGCAGTGAGTGAAATGTAAGCCAGGTCACATCACTTCCCCCACACAACTCTGCAGAGGCTTCCTACTGCCTTCGGAGAAAATTCCCACCTCCTGCACCTTGGCCCCTGAGAACCCACGTGACCTGCACTGGCCAGCACTGCAGCTCCGCCTTCCATCCCTCCCCATCTCTCATGCCCTTCAGCCAAGTGCATCCACACTGGTCCACGCACTGGACAAGCTCCTTTCTGCCTCAGTGGCTCCCTCTGCCTGGGCATCTGCTCCCCTGAGTCTCACCTGGTAGGCTCCCTTTCATTATTTCGTCACTGTCCTCCCATTCTGCACCCAGGCACTCTCCCATCACCCTGTGTTGATTTCTTGCTCTCTGGCTTCCCCTTTCAGTGCCCGTCTCCCCAGCAAAATAAACGAGGCATTGTATGCCCTGCTCTCTTCTCTGCGCACGCCCAGTTTTACAGCCCAGGCACACACAGTAGGGCCCGGCATGCATGTGGCTGATAACTGCGCCCCCGGCCCACCTGGTTCCGGAAGAGCAAGGCCACCACGCCACCAACGAGCTCGATTATGAGGCAGATCCCAAGGATGTACATAAACTGAAAAACAAAATTCAGAGATTCGCCTAGAGGGGCAGAGGAAGTGCCATCAGCTCCGAGGACAAGCTCATCAGGAGTCATCGCTGTCGGATGACAGAGCCTCCCGGGCCGCTCGCCCTTCCTCCTGTGAGGACACAGGATGTGGATGTTCTGAGGGAAAGCCCGTCTTTGAAGCCCGTGGTCAGGAAAAGTGACTCAGCTGTCTGAGCCCGACTGTTACCGAGGTTTGTCCCAGGGACCGAGATGGAAAAGCATCCCACGCCCACCACCCGCCGCCTTCCTCAACCCCACAGGAGCGCTGGTCCTCGCTCAGGCTGCTCCAGAGGGGATAGGCCTGGCTTAACGGGCAGGGCAGCATTTCCAGCTGTGCAGGCAGAGCCCCTCGCAAGTGGCTTCCCAGACTCCCAGGGCGGTGAGGAGAGTGAGACAGAGAACATGCACCCCACCCCTGCGCTTCATCACTGTACCAGCATTGTCCAAACGGAGGCCAGCAAATTCCAGCCTCAGGCAGCACCGAGGCCCGGCTTACAGGGCTTTCAGGGGCCTCCCATGTGAGGAAGACAATGTGGGTGCAGAGCAAATGCATCTGCCTATCTGGTACCCCCAGCTTTGAAAACCCATCCTTCACCCCATAGTAAGGGGGCAGGAGGGCGGGCCTCACCCCCTGGCCCCAGGGCAGGCCTTCTGAGTCCTGGGATTGGGGCCAGAGTTACCAAGAAAGATTCCCTGGGACCAAGAGCCACAAGGACTCTGTTGCCCTGGGGCTGCTGGCGACCACCGCCCAGGGGAAAGAAGGGCAATGCCAGGTGTCCAGCTGGGAGGTCGGGGGGAGCCCTGGGCGCAGCCTGCACCCCTGGACCCAGGGCGGGTTTGCTGGTTCTGTGCGCTAAGAACTCACTACCAACTGGTTGTTGTTTCACTTGCTCTCATTTGAATGTGGTTTCAACCCCTTCCAACCGGAGTCTGGACCCACAGAGGGTGTAAGTGAGTGAGACGGCTAGTATGCAAATCAGCCTTCCTATGCAGAAGTGGAGGTGGCCACTGTGGACAGCAAGGCTGATCCGGGAAACGCTCCAGGAGAGCTGCCTGGAGGCCTGGGCCAGTCTCCCTGCCTCTCCCGGGACTCCAAGGACCTGCCACCCACCAGCTGAGGGGTGCGCGGGGCCAACTCACGGCTTGAAGAAGGCACAGGTTGTCTCGAAGGGAGGCCAGCACGCCGACGAAGGAGACGATGAACATGATGACTCCCAGGAGGATGAGGATAATGGCCGGGGCCAGAAAGGCACTTTCGAGGGTTTTGTATTTCTGCCGCTCGACCTCTGCATAGATCCCCACCGACAGAACCAGGGTCCCGATCAGCTGCAGCGAGAAAGCCGGGAGGGGGAGGTGAGAAGGACTGGAAGGCTCTAGATTTTCCTCCGAAGAGCTTAGTGAGGGCTGTGGTACTGGCCACTGTGGGCGGCTCACCCCAATGACTGTCCAGGGAGGGAACCTGTTAGAGGCTGAATTGTATCCCCCCCCAAAAAAAAAAATTCCTATGCTGAGGTCCTAACCCCCCGGGACCTCCGTGTGACTGTATTAGGAGACAGAGCCTGTAAAAGGGTAATTAGATTAAAATAAGGTCAGGTCAGTGGGCCGTCATCCAATATGACTGTTGTCCTTATAAGAAGAGGGCATTAGGGCACAGACGTACCCAAAGGGAAGACCAATGGGAGACACAGGGAAAAGACAACCACCTACAAACCCAAGACAGAGGCCTCAGAAAAACTGACTCTGCCAACACCTTAGTCTTAGACTTCCAGCCTCCAGAACGGTGACAGTAAATTTCTGTTGTTAAAGGATATATGCACCCCTATGTTCATAGCAGCACAATTCACCATAGCTAAGATCTGGAAACAGACTAAGTGCCCATCAGCAGATGAGTGGATTAAAAAACAGTGGTACATCGACACAATGGAATACTACGCTGCGGTAAAAAAGAAGGAATTCTTACCACTTGCAACAGCATGGATGGAATTGGAGAGCATTATGCTAAGCGAAATAAGCCAGTTGGAGAAAGATAAATATCACATGATCTCACTCATATGTGGGCTTTAATGATAAATAAATAAAATTTAAAAAATTAATAAATAAAATGTTCTGTTGTTTAAGCCCCCTAGTCTGTGGTACTTTGTTATAGCAGCCCTAGCAAACTAATACAGACCCTATTTGGAAATCTCAGGAAAAGTCTTAGTGAGTCAGGGGGAATGCCCGGTGGAGGGTCAGAGAACCTGGGCCTTGCATAGGCTGTTCCCTTGCCTGGAACGTGCTTCCTCCTGAAATCCACATGGCTCACTCCCTCACCTCCTTCCTGCCCTTGCTCAGCTGTCACCTGTGCATGGTGAGGCCTTTCGGGGGGGGCATCTTATTTAAGAAAGAATCCTGCTTCCTGACACCCTGATCCCATTTCCCTGTTTGACTTTTCTCCTTTGCACTTGCCAGCACATGACTTTTTCCCTTAATTTTGTAATGGTTTGTCTTCCCCACAGGAATATAAGCTCCGTGCCAGGAGGGGTTTCTTCAACTATTTCAGGCATCCCGAACAGCCAGGACAGCCCTGACATTTAGGACGTACAATCAGTGTTTACAACCAGTGTCTGCTGAATGGATGCCAGCTGGGCTTCCCAACAGGCCCCCGTGGGTGTGAGGTCAATGCTTCCTACCATGTCTCTTGCCTGTCCAACGACTCTGGCTTTCCAAGCCACACACTCCCGAGGGCAGGGACAGATCATGTGGGTGCAGAGCAAATGCATCTGCCTATCTGGACTCCTCCACTGAGAGGAAGGCAATGTGGGAGCGTAACCAAAAGACAGGGTGCTGCCGGCTAAGGCCCGAGGAAAGGAAGTGAGGGGATAATTCAGATGTTGGCAAGATGTGCCATGAGCACAGAGAAGCCAACATCCATAACACTGAGGAGGCTGTCCCTGCAGCTACTGGCCTACCCAGCCTTCAGTTGGCTAAGTGTGCCCTCCAAATAGATCCCTTTGACTTCTTTCTAAAGACTGTCCTGGCTAAGACCAAGGATGCCAAATGTCACACAGACCAACCGTACTTAGAAACACCAGGTAACAGGACGACCAGGGAGCCAGATCCTCACCCTCGGGTCCGCAGTTGCTGTATTTCACAGCTAAGTGCCACTCTTTGGTTTGAAAAGGTAATTGGCTTACAGAGATCCACTCTCCCCAAGTCTAGCAGGAAGGTCTTTCCAGTACACACGGGCCAGGAAGTGCTGAAGCCATTGACAAACTCAGTGGTAAGCCAGTTATTCACACATGGCCATATCAGGAAAACTGTAAAATGATGTCATCAAATTCACCCACTTGGGTAAACATTAAGATTTATAAGGCAGGGCACAAACACATACACGGCCCTACCCAGGAAAACGGTGATCCCGGGAAATGAACCCTACCTTTGTAAGAGAAAGGTTAAACAAAGACTATCTGGTCACTTCATGCTCCAAAACCCAGAACACGGTGATACCGTTGTTCAAGATCAGCCTAAGCCCTGTGGGGCCTTTGAGAACAAGGGCAGGCAGCTTTAGAAAGCCAGGTCCCTGCTTCCGATCACTCACTCGGCCCTGACCCTGAGCCAGTCACAGAGGCGGCTACCCCTCCACCCCAAGGCTGAGGGTTATGGTTAAGGAAGAACCCCACAGGGAAGCACAGCCCTCAGCGTGAGGACGAGGTGAACTTGAGGGCTACAGAGTGGCGGCTCATTTTCCATCATATATATAATTGATTTCAGAGAGGAAGGGAGAGGGAGAGAGAGAGAGAAACATCAATGATGAGAGAGGATCATCGATCAGCTAGCTGCCTCCTGCACGCCCCTTACTGGGGATCGAGCCCACAACCCCGGGCATGTGCCCTTGACCAGAATCACACCCGGGACCCTCAGTCCACAGGCCGACACTCTATCCACTGAGCCAAACCAGCGAGGGCTCATTTTCCATCTTGATGGAAAGTGTAATCCTCATGCTGTCACTGAACCAACAGGAGAACATCTTAATATTTTCACAATTGACCCATATACTTTTGAGAGTCCTACGTTTCCTGTTGTAAACAAAGAAAACAGTTCTTCTCGGGCAGGATGGACGGCCTAGCGGGCAGGGGAGTGCTCGCCGGCCTCGGGGCGGGGCCCCCCCCCCCCCCCCCCCCCCCCCCCGAGGCTGTGCTTCCGAGGTAAGGTGTCCTGCTTTGGAAACCATCTCCAAAACACCAGCGCTGTCGATGCCCAGTTCTGAGCAGAACTGACCCCAACCCTCTCCACAGAGGCAGAACTCAGCTTCTGTTTTGACAAGCTCCCCCGAGCCCCAGGGCCCACTCCAGAACAGCGTGTCGGCAGGAAACAAAACTTCCTCCCATCGCCCTCCTGTTGCAAAGCGCCACATTTCCAGGCCACTGAAGCCATAGGGAGAGCTAACATGGCAAATGCCAACCCAAGCCTCCCGACTCCCCCACCGCTGGGTACCCACGGCCCGTTCCTCCTGGTCCACCCCGAGGTGCTGCCACCCCAGCTCTCCCAGAGGCCTGGCAGGCAACCCCAAGGCGGCTCCCCACACAGCACAGGCTGATCCGGGCTCCTCGGTTCCCAGAAACTTCAAGATTTCCAAATGATATTTACATCTCCGATGACATCAGTTTATGTTTCCATTCGACTATAAAATTAACTGTCAATGCCAGTGTGCGATCACATCCACTCTTCTCTGCTAATTATAGCCATTCCCCAGGCGGCCGGCCGCTCCAGCTCCAGCGCAGGAAGCAAATGGCCTATTTGTCAAGCGGGACAGCTTCAGCTAAACAGGCTGGGGCAGGGGGCACCCAGCCACGCCCAGGTGGGGCCAAAGAAGGAAAGCACATGCTGCCGGCAGCCTACAGGCCAGGCCCAAAGCCTTCAACAGGCTGCTCAGGAACCGGGGTGCCCAGCGTGAAAGGGGCTGAAAGCCCCCCCTGAGCCCCACAGCCTGGGACCCACCTTCCTCTCTGCAGGGAGAGGCCCAGCTCCATGCAGCTGCTGGGAAGCAGGAGCCCCGTGAGGCACTCCAGCACCTGTGTTTCCTCCTCCAGGAAGCATCTGGTCACTGTCCCCTCCACAGACTGCACCACCCGCCCTCCCCCCCCCGGCCCCAACTGGGGCAAGTCTGCACTTGGAGGGGACATGAAAGGCCCATTTTCACTCCAAAAGGCACAAACCAGGCACCTATTGTGCTCTAGGTCCTGAGGTCACCAGCGGCCACAAGACTAGACATGGGGTAAGACTGGAGGAGGGGAGATTGGGAGATGCTAGAAATGACCTCGATGGTCCTGTGGATGGGATCCAGGAGGTCTTTCAATTGGGGTTGGAGAAAAGGTCACACCTTTACTTCTGTTAACCTCCAAGGCAGTGGTTCTCAACCTTCTGGCCCTTTAAATACAGTTCCTCAAGTGACCCAACCATAAAATTATTTTCATTGCTACTTCATAACTGTCATGTTGCTATTATTATGAATCGTCATGTAAATATCTGATATGCAGGATGGTCTTAGGCGACCCCTATGAAAGGGTCATTCGACCGCAAAAGGGGTCGCGACCCACAGGTTGAGAACCGCTGCTCTAAGGGAAATGTTCCTGGCACAAAGAAGGTGAAGGCCTCTTGGTCTGTGGGAAGCAAGCTGCAGTTCCTGCTATGGAGAGATACAGGGGACTCTGGGAATTTGAACAAACGTGAGAGGAAGAAAGGAATTGTCAGAAAATCAGGGTGGGCTTCCTGGAGGAGCCAGTGCTTCCTGGAAGGCCCCAAGCACGGGTTCATTCTAAAACTATCTCAGGGGGCACTCAAGCCTCCAGGGTTCCGTGTTGGGCCCAAAACAAGCACTTTTCTGAGTTTCTAGCTTGAAGATGTGGGGGAAAGCTAAACTCCAAGGCCTGAGAGAGGCTTTAAATGAGGTGGGGCTAGCAGGATCCCTGCACCCAGCTGACAAACCCTAGACTTCGTATCCTTCAGCCCTTCGGTCCCAAGCCCACCCTCCTACTCAGCACACTCTGTACCAGCTTCTCTTCCGTCCAGGTCAGGGCTGGAAGGAGCAGGAGAGGCGAGATTAAAGATGGGAGTTGGCAATCCGGGCCTCTGTTTATTAGTGCAGTGTCCTGGGCCATGTCAACACCCCCCTCTTTGAACCTCATTTTTCACCTGAGGGACAGTAAGACCTGCTGGCATCTATAAAGTGTTGTACAGCATCCCCCAGAGTGCTAGACCTGCATCATCTCCCTTAACCTTCACACTCCCGCACATCCTAGAAACGATGAGTCTCATTTTATAGACCAGGCTCTGTGGATCACAGGAGG